TTGATGTGGACGCACAACCTGAAGAAGAACAGGGTGCTGAAGAACCTGACCCCAGGCAGATGATCCGTGAAGGGCTCGTTGCGCAACTTCAGGACTATGTGGGAATACTTGCTCAGGGCGAGATGTCGGTCGGGAGCAATAGTTTCACGTTCTGCGTTGCTTGCGGCAGCGAATCACATCGGCTATCCGATTGCACGGAAAACGCTGCAACCCGAGATCTGGTACTTCGAAGCATTCAGGTCATCAAGGACAGTCTTCTTCGCTATCCACGTCGACCACCTACACAACAAGCGGAGCCAATGGACGTTGATACCACTGACCAGGTGAGTGTTGCTTCCTCGGATCGACGACCCAAGGCCAAAGCCCGACCGCGACGCGGAGGCGAAGCCGTTCGGAGTGATGTGGTCTTGATTCGTTACGAGAACAAGCACAACCTTTGCACGGAGGTGGAGAACCGTCGAGGCTTAAATGACGCTTGTGGTATACCGCTACGGGACATGGGACCCGAGAACAGTCAGCGGGTGGTGGATCTCATTGAGCAGCTTTCGGACCATCGTGACCGACGACTGCCTCAACGAGGAGATCGTCCAAGCTTTGAGTATGACGAGAATACTCAGGAATGGGCAAACCCAGGCTACGAATCCATCGGCGGCGGAAGGCCAATCCGATACGGAATTCTTGACCTGATCCCGACCAAGGGTGCAAGCTTCATCAACAACCGATGGGACATCGTGAATGAAGTTGTCCTTCGCAACATCACCCATCATCGAAGAAGGAGCGCAGAGTGGGCGCTATCCTGCATTCAATCTGACTTACGTCACAGAATTGCCAGGCGCCCAGGTTCGAAAGCAGACGCATTACCGAAGCGGTCTCAAGGACCGACGAGTACCAAAGGAAGAGAGTGTACAATGAGAGACTGCAGCTACTATTCCAGGGGAATATGCTTTCAGCCACGAAGCGCCACAAGGCCAAGATCCGGCTACAGTTCCTGGGTGTGAGAGTGAAGAACCCTGGCACAGAGACTCTTGGGCCTGCGAACTCGAACAGGTTGGTGTCGGTTCCAGATCAGATCTCAGAGATCCAGAACAATGACCGTTGTCGACACAATCAGAGGTACCTGAACGTTTGCAACGGCTGGGTGAAGCCATGGGCTGTTCGGGCCACAAGTGGTCATTTTACGCACTCCGATCCCCAGAACAACTTGCTTCAGTTGGACAAGGACCGGTTCGCAATATCTCCGTCTATGACCCTCTTGACACGTCTCGGGGGCGCGTTCCACGCTACAGCATGCCGCAATTTGGATTCCATTGTTCTGCAGGGCGTCATGCCTGGTTCGGAGGATCCTGACGGGGACTTCGACCATCGGCGTCAATTTCGGGACAACCGAGGCGGCAGACTCCACAGTTACTGGGGGGTATTTGCACCGTTCGACAGCCGGAACGCAACTACCAAAGCTCGGGTACACGGGCCGCAAGCCAAGCACATGCCACTTGTGGTCCTCCATGTCGCTTCGACAGACCTTGCCCGAGAAGGTGGACGTATCACTGACAGCGGTGTCATCATCGTTGGTCGAACGATATCGTTCCAGTTCGTGAAGGAGGTATGGTTTTGCGTCCCGAATCCTCAAGATACACACTCTTTCGCTCTGGTGGAAAAGATCTATGACGAACGATTGGAGAAAGAGATGGTGTTGGACTTCAATGGATCCCCATTGCTTCCTGAATTCGAGAGATATCGAACGCCGAGCAAGATCATGGAATTGCTTTGCGAGATGCCTCCCGGACCCCATGACACAAGCAAGGAGCAGATAATGCGAGACCTTACCTCTGTCTTGGAGTCCCACAGGGAGAACACAGTTCGGCATCACTACATGGACAAGGGCATTAAGTTTGTCATCAAGAACTGGCGACCCGAAGATCTACGAAGAGATGAGGATGGCAGGAGAATGAGGGTGTGCCCAGCGTGCTACAACATTGTTCCAGCATGCTTTTCTCGATGTACATCCTGCTGGTCACAATTCGTTTCTTGCGGTTATTACCAAGGTACTCCACAACGGGAGACTCCCACGGAGATCCCAAGTGAATTCATTGCTCAGACAATGGAAGCTGCGGCAGCAGCAGTACCCGAGGCAACCGTCGAGGAACAGGAAGCCATGGAAGCAGGATCGGTTGCGGAACCTGAAGGGATTCCAGAACCATCTGTCGTTGGGGAAGACGATCCAGAACAGGAACCTGATGAAGAAATGGACACGGAGCCAGGAGAGGACTTTGATGACGAAGTACCAGATGCAGTGGCACAGGAACGACGTCCCGTCCTCATCGCCGGCCAGTCCTTAAACATCGACCCTGAACTGCAGATCGCTCGCACCGCCATGCAGCCGTCCTACTACCACGGAAAACGAAATGCCCATTGCATCGACGCCAACATGGCTGCTCTTTCGTACATGGCATTCGTGGTATGCAGAACCATCTACAAAGCTTGGTCAGGATTCGCGAAGTGGGCGACCATGCCGTTGTTCCAGATGAGAGAGAACTTCACGAATGGTCAACGCTATGATGTGCTCGGCAAGTGGGGAACTTTGGCTGGAGTGGATAAAGAAGCAGGTGTGAGTAGGGATGTGACTGATGAGGAGATCCTTCGCTTTGCCAAGGAGCCCGAGAACATCAAGTCGTATGATCCCAACGGGACTTACACTTTGAAGCGCTTCCGGACGAACCAGATGCTCTCACTGTTGACACGGGGAGCCAACATGATGGGAATCGGCAGGGACAACTTCAACCCATCCACGTACCTGAAGAGTGACAAGGAAGAAGACGTGAAGGCAATGCACTTTTGTTGCCTGAACGTCCTATGCGAAGTTATCCCGATGGTGACAGGACATCAGCAGTTTTCGGTACTACGACCTACGCCAACTGGACCGGTGGACTTTCTGTACATCGACCCGGTCGGCATCCTCTTTACTCATGCAATGCAGATCATTCCGTCCAGACTATTGGACTGCTGGTGGATCACAACGTGCAAATGCCAGCGCACTTCTTGGACAAATTGGTCAAATCCAGAGTTGAGAGACAGCAACATCCGAACGTTCGACGTCCTTAAGCATTACATCACATCTCGGCCGAAGAATATCTCCCTCCGGGTGGTACTTCCATCATGGACACGCCCGTCACTACGGAGGAACGTGCAAGCGCTTCTTCGGCAAAGGGACCTTCAAAGGGGCGTGAGAGAACTGGAGGTGGTCAACATGGAGATTGGAACACCAATTCCTACCATGACTACATCGCCAGCAAAGGCCGAAACAAAGGCAAGGACAAAGGAAAGCAGAAGAACCAGTATCCAGAGGAGAACCTCCGGCCCTGGGAACGCGATCCTACGTCGACACGAAGATGGTGGCGGGACAACGCCTGATCTACCCCATCTTCCAGCTTGTGACCTCTGCGCTTCGCACATGGAATTCCATCGCGAGTGCTTCTTTCTTCGGTGACGCCTGATTCGTTTGTCATTTCAGGGGATCGCTACCGACGTAGATGAGTGTCACAACGTTTCTAATTGGGATGCAAAAGCTCTGATCCATATGTCAAAGTTGCGGCGGAACAATTTTCTGATATTCCTATCGTGCCATCTTCCGGGTGAGCAGCGTCGGAGACGCAACTCATGGGGGGTGCGAACGGACTGCGATGCCTTGTCAAGTTCGAAGGTGTCACTATAAGATCTGTGAGCAAGACCGTGTAAAGTGCAAGGGAAGGGGGCACGCTACGCGTCCCTCGTCTCTAGGAGTAGGCTTGTGGTAGTGCTACGCACACCGCAATGCCTATCCAACCTTTCAGTATGACCGCCCATGCAACATTTTGGCTCAAGAATGAGCACAAGCTCTAGAAAGCATTGCCCATAGCTAAAGTGCTATAGTCTTCTGTGACTACCCGAGAGGACAGAGCTATCCCGTGCACAGACGATCCATCGCCGGCCGCGAGTGTGCAAAACGAGCGAACGCTGGATCTGCCTGCATAGGAGTGCGTGTGTGGAAGTGGAAGTAACAGTGATCCAGTCTGTAGAGGGCAACCACGCCATCAGTCAATATAGCTCTTTGTGGGGTGAGCGACAAAGAACATCATCAAGATCAAATCCCCACGCAACTGGGGTCTTTTAGCGTGCGTTTAGTTCTCTAACATGTCGCCCTCTTCCCAATAGTCACTTCGGTCGTGTGTAGGTTCATCCGCAAGGTGTTACCCAAGCACAAGCTTACCGCTGTAATGCTGGTTAGGAACCAGATGGCCTCCACGCACCGCGGCTCATTCAACGAGCTGTGCAACAAGAATGCTGTCATCCCTCTTGAGACATTGAGGGTGGCCATGTATGGGTCCAGTCTTCTGACGGTGAGTGGCCGTGCCCAGACTTCAGTACAGGTGAACGTGGCGTGATCTTGGGATGGCTTGCCATCTTCGACCCGATGCAGTTACATGCAACTATTCCTTGCACAAAAGGCAATAGGACAGTTGTTATTGCCTTCACGCCTAGGAATGTGAGCAAGCTGCCGGTTGAGGACCAACTGCGGCTCATAACACTGAGGTTTCACTTTTCGAAGACGTGCAGGCCTCACCAAACAGATAGTCTCCGTAGCACAGTCCACGATGACTTCCAAAAGGGGGAGTAATCGGTACACGTACCTTCTGCACCGTTGTACATGTCTTGTACAAGCAAGTTATGAGAGATCGACAGACTCACTTTGGTTCAAGTCAAACAGGCGTCTTCTGCGTTTGTTTGCTTGGTGTTATTGATACACGTCGGTGTCCCACGTGTTCAACTCTCCGCAGTACACAGGGAGTATACAGGGGGCGCCCCGAGTTTTCACGGGGCGAGGTTTCAGGCGACGTCGGCGACCGAAGAAAATATGGTCAGATAGGAGTTGTCACACTTAAAAGAGCGTTGTAAGTTCATGGGCTTCCTGCACGTGGACTTGGGGTGGGTCCCGATGAAGTTCGGGCAGGAGCCGGGATTCCGGGATGCTTAAAGCGGAGTGTAGACGCTGCAAGCTGCAGCCGGAGCCGGCCGCAGCAGCTTGGGCTTCCGAGAGCTTCACGGAGAAATCGTGCTCCTCTCCGTTCTGCCGGTTGCGGGGCGGCGCAGCTGCGAGAGGATCGACAGGCGAGAAGGAGGCGAAGCTACGCGAGAGTCCGAATCAAGTCGCGCGATTCGCTTCTTCTCATCTTCAAGTCTTCTCAGTCTTCGCTGTCCCTTCTTTCTTCTTTCGCGTCTGAGGTGCTGGGCCTGGCCTCGGGCAGTTCGGGGTACGCCCGGCGCGCCCAGCAGCTGCGCTGCACTCACCTGGCGCGGGGGCCCGCTCGAGATCTGCGCAAAAGCCAAGCTCTCTTTCCCCGCTCTTTTAAGCAGGTGGAGAGCGAGGACTTCGGGGCCTTCTTCTTCATGCCCAACCCCAAGTACCACTGGACACCCGAGGCCCGAGGTGAGCGGCTCGCTCGGACCGGAGCTCTGCGGCTCCGCTTTGGTATGGCTTTTTTTGTTCCTCGAAAGCCTCCGCTCTTTCCGCTTTTGTGAGCCGCAGGCCGCCTTCAACGAGGAGCGCAAGGCCGGGCCGCGATGGGCCGAAAGCGCGGCGGAGAGCGTGGCAGTGTGGGGGCTGGGCTTGGCGGGTTCGGGTATGGGCGGGTTGGGCGCTTGGTGGGTTCGCAGGCACGCTTCGTGGCCTGGTGGATCCACCCGGAGCTCTGCCGGGGAGCCCAGCGGAGCGATTGCAGTGCAGCAGTGCAACTCTCTATCTCTCCCTGTGTTCTGCGCTTGGCCGCGTCCCGCGAGGCCCGATGCTGCGAGCCTGGTCCCGGCCTCGGCTCGGCGGAAGCGCTGCGCATGCTGCGCATGCTGCGCTTCGCTCTGCTGTGGAGCCGTCAGGACCAGCCGCTGTGGCGACGAGAGCGAAAGTCGGAAGAGCGATGGAGGCAGTTCTCCGCCGTTGCGGCTTCGTGGGCCCCTATAAACCCCCTTATCGCTCATATCGCAGTTTATCAGATCCATAAGTTTCTATAAGTCTATCTCTATCGCTGCCACCGCTTCGCAGGTGCCAACACCGAGGCCGGTGCCGGCGGCCCAGCCCAGGGCGGCCCAGCCGGCTCAGCCGGCCCTCGGCACAGCAGTTTCTTTGAGGTGGGAGCCCCGGGAGACTTCGGCTACTCTGAGATGCTGAAGTCGGCAGCTTGGAGCTTTCAAGCTAGCCTTTCTCGATCAAGCAGGATGTTGGAAACGCATTCCCGGTGCCCTTGTGCCTATGGCCTCAAGGTGTCACTTGCCAGTTGCGCACTGACTTATTTTCATATTTTTCATCGCAGGATTATATCACTTCATCTTGGTGGTGCTCTGTACAGGACTAACATTACGGGTTGACATGTTCCGATTCTTTCTGTCAGTGGGAAGATCTTGAACGATGCTCCTCCTTTTGTGGTGTTTTTGGCCATATTGGCAACTAGAATGCAGACTACCTAATGCTTTGTCGGCCGCACTCTGCTTCTGTGCACCTGCGTTGATGTAGGATGCTGGAGATGGAGCTTCTCGCGCAGGCGCCGCCTGGCAGCGCTCCTCATCGGGCGAGCGGAGCTTCCCTTCGGCCACACCTCGGCCTTATGCCAAAGGAAACCCGCCGAACAAGACGTATCCAAGAAGGCCTCAAGGCTCACGAGGTGAGCGGCTGTCGGCTTGCGGGTGGCGACAAGGTCCGCGACTCTCAAGGTCCAGCGCCACACGCTCGCGTGCTGTCGGCTCCTCCATCTTCCTTCGGGCCCTGCCCGCTTGGGGCCTGGGGCGGCTGGGCCACGGCCACGCTCGGGCCGCTCCTCGCGCCGCCACGCCTCACCCGGCCTCACGACCGCCGTCTTAACTGCGGTGGGCGCTCCTTACGGAGCCGCAACGCAGGGAAGGAGCGTAGTGTTGCTACTCAGGCGGCCTCGCGTCCTGGAGCAGGTAACGCAACCCATATATAAATCTTACTGGTCATCGGGATCAGCGGCGCGATGATGAAACTGCTGTTGTTTCTCGAGGTGGACTTGTTAAGGTGAAAATTCTTCGACGGCTCCCTCGCGATCACTCCTTCAGGGTCACTTAGAGATTGTTCTGAGGTAATCTTGACGATAAGATTGAGAGCGGGTTTAGCGGTTTCCCTTGCAACACCATCTCACATTTTCTGTCTTTCGTCCACCGTTTCCTCTGCTATTTCTTCAAGATTTTGTCTTTACCTATCTCTCCCCCCCCTCTTCTCTTCTCCACTCTTGTCTTGGAGTGCCGCTCCTTTCAAATTGATTTCCTTCCTTTCTCATATGCTTCTATCTTGGCTCCAATCTCCAAACTCTTCTCGCTCGCATTCCCGTCACACTCTCCTCAATGCAGGCGGGAGTTGAGAGTTCAATGTTCACATCTAGGGCAGACACAGGTCATCGGACTACTTGCACACCTGCCGGGATCTATGTGGAGCCACACATGTCAGGCTCGGGGCGGGAAACGGGAAATTGAGCCTTTGGAGCCCCCCCAAAGACGCCGTCGGCACAGGATGCTCGAGGCGCTGGTGCAAGGGATCAAGACCTACTTGGAACGGATGCACCATGGCTTTGAATTGCGGATGTGGCATCGTTTGTTGAGCAGCGCCGAACGGTTAAGGGTCAAGCCTGCAAGTATGCACGGCCTGTAAGTCACCGAACTCTGTTCTGAGGTTCGGTGATGCTCTCGCGGCAGCGCACGTGTCAGCAGGCTTCCACTATCCAGCCGGAAGCTGGGAAAGCTTCTTTGCTTCTGCCATCAAAGCCCAGCGCATTTCCTTGCTTCGTCAGGGAGGCTTCTCGAAAGCGAGCAACAGCATTGTGCAGCAGCAGCATCAATTTTTGGGAAACTTCGAACTCGATCACAGGAATCGCGGCATTGATAAGAACCGAGCATCAACAGCCGCAGCAGGGCCAGCAGGGTGCGCGCACGGGCGGCTTGTTGGAGTCCCAGATAGCAGAATAGCAGGTCCAACCCTTCAGTGCCAAAGAGCGGAAGCAGACGCATTGCTGAACCGCGAGGTGCATAACAATACGCCGATCAACAGCGAACATGCTTATGGCTTATGCTCAAAGTAACAGACGAGATGAACAAAAGTCCACGGCGAAGGAACATGAATCATAGTGACAACAGAAGCAACACTTGCAAATGAGCGAGACCTTGAAGCCACGCAGCGATTTTTTTTTCGCTGGGAGCTTGGATTGTTGCCTTCCATTTTGTTCCAAGCGCCTTGATGGTCAAAGGCAAGAGCCATCGTCAAGATACTATATCGGCGAGTTACAGGGGGGCTAGCGGCGGGCGGGGGGAGGGCTACCAGCCAGGCTGCACCTTTCAGCAGGCGAAAAGACGGGAGGCTGCCGGCGAGGCAGAGGGGTCCGCCTGTCCGCCCCAGGCCCCAGTCCCGCCGCCCCTCTCGCGAAAAATCCCTCGAAGAGCGGCCTAAGAGCGGCGGTCTGCTGGGGGGGGCCTCTGTGTTTGCGCTTTTGCCCTGAGGTGCGGCCTCAGTACAGCACGCTGCATTTGCAGATCCGAGTGAACGCCGGCGACGTCTGCCCAGGCACAGGGCCGATCGGAAGGGGCATCCCCCCCAAATCCCAATAAACCATACACCTCCGCTCCTCCCCTCCTCCCCTCAGGCGAGGGCCGCGGCGTCGACCTCTTCAGGCCAGGCTGCGGCGCCGAAGTGGCGGTTTTCAGAGAGCAGATTGCCACGAGTTTGCGTTTCGACTATCTGTTCGCGACCGCTCTATACGAGGCTGCAGAACAGGTTGAAGTCCGACCCCGAGTGCTTCCAACGAGACGACGAGACGCTCTTCTACGAGGCGGAGGGTTGAAGGGGGAAGCCGGGAAGGCTTGAAGAGAAGAAGGCCTTTAAAGGGGGCACTGGAGAGGCCACGGCGAACTTGAGGATGGCCCTGCTGAAAGCCTGCGACAAGGCAAGGTGGCGTGCGTGTACGGGTGTGCTGGGTGTGCTGGGCACTGCTTCGCAGCTTCACTTCACTGTCGCAGGCGCCGAGCTCCTGTCGGACTCGCGAGGTGGGGCCCAAGAGTTTGGTCTTGGGCGACTCGTAAGCGAAAGTTGCAAGCGCTCTTTGCTGAAGAGCAGGCGTCGCCTAGGGCTAGCCGCCTAGCCTCTCTCTTTCGCTCTCTTTGCATGTCTCTGAAAGGGGAAGGCGCGTTGCCTAGGTCACTCTTTGTGTCGGCTGGCCCCAACTCGCGCTTTCCCCCCGAAATTCGCACCGCCCTGCTGCGGGCAACGGCTGCAAAACTCTCTCGGGCTTCCGAAAAAGGGGCCATAGAACCATGGACCAATACGTCAAAGACGCCGTAACCTGTAGCACGTAAGATGATACCCCTCATGCGATGGGACCCGGACCCCTCTTTTCGAGACTTCCCGCCCGAGGGCGCGGCTCTTTCCTTGTTTTTTTATAGAGGGCACCCATTTGGGGTCTCCGATGTTCAAACCTGCAAGCCCAGTTTTTCAAGGCCGCACAGCTCAACGCTTGGAGGAGAGTCGCTGAAAGCGCTCCGATCGAAGGGTCGAGTCCGAGTTTTGTGACTCGCCCCACTCCAGGAGGATCCTGTTAGGAGAGGACTCCCGCCGGGAGTTTTGTTTCCATCTTTGGGCCCACCAAAGGCCCCCGCCGGCCCCCCCCAACGCCCCCCCCCCCAGCATGCCAGAGGCCCGCGCCTCGGAGAGGAGAGCCGAAGAGGGCAGGGGCTGAGTCGATCGCTTCGCTGAGGCTCAGAGTCCAACAGCCAGCATCGAGGCGGGGCAAAGGGGCAAAGGGGCCCCCAAAGGGCCCGGGACCCAGGGACCCACAGGGACCCAGGCCAGGCCCAGGCCAGGCCAAGGTTGAGGAGGAGCTTTTGCTGCTGCTTCAGGACGCTTTAGCTGCGCCTGTACATACCGCATCTCCCCAGCGCAGAGCTCCGACGCGCCTTTACTTTGGCGGCCTTCGTCCGTGGTTAACTTGCAAAGGGCAGTCCACGGAGCCGCCACAGTTTCACATGTACAGTCGAAGCGAGGGGCCAGGGATCAGTGGGCCAGGCTCAGGGGGTATGATGGGCCCTACAGCATACAGTACTACAGGCCCCAAAACAGCGAGAGCCAGGAGTTGTCGAAGTGCGAAAGTGTTTTCAAACCTCGCCTCGTTTCGTGGCAATTCGCGAAGTGTGCAGGCACGATTCAACGAGCCTCGACGAGTCAGAGGCTTCATGGAGTTGACAGCTGCACGACCGGAAAACAGGAGCTCAGGAAGGCTCTACAGCACTACTTCAGGGCTGCTCTCTCCTGCTCTGGTCCTAAATCCTCCGCTCTGGCTCGAGCATCCAGGCCCAGGCTTTCACATCCCGAGAGACCTGCTGTGTGCAAGTCACCGACGCGCGGAATGGAAGCCAGAGGAGAGGTTTTCACGTTCCAAGTCAGGAGGGTTGGACAGCCTTGCTGAAATCTGCGCCGCTCCGCGCGTCTCAGAGCATGTCCGCTCTGTGCGACTCGAGCTCTCGTCAAATCGAGATACTGTTGGGGAAGTGTATTTGAAGCCCCCCAAAAAATTGCCACGAAAGTAAGACGGAGTTATATGGTGAGACATGTGAGCTTTTCGCTTTTTGGCTCAAACCACCGACGGCTCGGAAGGTGATCTTTGAATATTGTTCCCCCGGATGCATCATAAGAATCATAGCCAACATCTCTTGCCATCAACTGTGGTAGATGGACATGTCAGCTGCGCCCTCTCCTTGCAACATGATTGGGCATCATGTCGACGATGTGAGTCAGCTCTTTGAGGCGGTCTCTTGGAGGAGCGACGGAGAACTGTGGTTAAGTGCATCAGTCTCTGTCGCTTAGCATGTGTCAGGGACATTGGTCGCTACCTGCTGATCATCACGAAGAAAAAACGATTTCGATTGGAGGCCTTCGCGCATCGCCTCCATGATCCACCAGACGTCTTTATGCCATCTTGTTATCAGAGGTGCTATTTGGCAGCATTTGGTAGAAGCCCGAAAACATTCATAGATCAGTGGCTTTCAACGGTCGAAGTGCAAGGAGTGACCTGAAAGAGATTTGGTGAGCTGCAGCAGCACTCGCAGCCTTCCGAGCCAGGGCATTCTGCGAGAAATCTCTGCGGAAGGTCTTCATCTCAAGTTGGGCTCCAAGTTGCAGTACAGGCTGTGCTGTGTTTCCGACAGACTTCACCGCAATGCAGGAAGGTATGGCTCTGCAGCAAAGACCCTGACTTCAAACCAAAGCTCCTTGTCCGGTGGCAGGACCTCCCAAAGTCCCAAGAATACTTTGAAAAGCTGCAAAGATCCAGGACATCAGAACGATCACTCGCATGGACCGCGTGGGCAAGGACATGTTGTTCTAATTCCGAGGAACGGGTTTAACGCCGCATGCGGGCCAATTGCAGGATGCTTCGTTGCCAGAGCCACGTGATCCATTGCCAGATCTGCGTGAACACGAGGCCCACGAGGCCACGGCTGTGAATGCAACACCTAGAGAGGACCTAGTTTGGCACATCTGCAGTGTTAGGACAAGCCATTGTTGGGAATGCCCATGCCCGTGCTTCTCCATGTCTATGATTGTGGACAGGCTCGTTTGGAGCGTGATGTTGTCGCGCGTTTGCTGCTGTTGTGTCAAAGTAGTGGCGGAGAAAAGCCAGCGAATGGCGCACTGATAGCTTTTGCAGCGTTGAGAGTGCCCGTAGATAGCAGTAGAAGGGGGGGAACATGTAGCAGTGCAGCAGGGACTGCATGCAACCAAAACATGCGATAGTGAGAAAGACGAAGAGCTGTCAACATACAGTCTGAGCATGGTTTGCAGGCAGTTTTCGCAGCTATATGCAGCTGCGACTTGTAGGTCAAAAATATTCGCTTGCTTGAGAACCATTAACTTGGAAAGGATGAGGTCTATCGGCGTCGGCAAGCAGCCCATAGTCCAAAATTCCGGCGCACGCCAGGCAAGAAGTGTACCCCCAACTCCAATCCCCTTCTGGTCAGTTTCCGAGATCTCCTGGCATGACGTTCACCAAGATAGCATCGAATGAAGCAAGACAGCTGGAGAAGCCCACCCGACAAAAGAAGCGGCTTCTGTTTGATTGCAGCTACCCACATGCTACACGTCGATGGTGCGTCCGCTAGCCGCTAGCCAAGGGTCCAATTTCCAAAGTGTGCAGTGTTCAGTGCACAACCTCAATGACATGGTTTTGCTTCGCTGAAAGTGATCTCGTTGTTTGCTCACGTCGTGCTGGCGACGAGACAGAGATGTTCAGCCAAGTATGGCTCATTTCAGGCCAGATGCCTCCAAGTCTTCAATAAGGCTGCTTCTTGAAGCTTTTTTCTGCAGTTTCCAAGGGTGTTACCGGGGTTGCACGTGCATGGCAGGCCTTGACCCAAGTTGGGATAGGTGGGGCCTACCACGCAGCCGTTGAGGTGGAAACACACTTGCCGCACTTGCAGAGTACCTTCTGCGATTTGAGAAGTCCTGATGTGTTGATGAGGTCAATGGCCTAGAGTGGGACTTCGATGAGTACAACAGGCCCTTGGAAAAATGTGCATGCAGTGTCTATCCATACACCTTTGATCACCATTACGTGTCCCGTCGAAGGACAACCCCTGCTGTGCATTGCCGTGAGCCGCGGCAAAATCCATACCACAGCTACAAAACAACGGCCCGGCCCCCGGCATGAAAGCATCTCGGCACTGTCTCCGCCATGGGCCACAGAAGCTGTAGTACGAATATGTACGATGCATTTTCGTGAGTCGCCACAGGTTGCCCTGGGATATACCCAGCGCAGTGCAGCCACTTTGTTCGCAATGAGGGTGGATGCCAAACAGCAGGGTGCCTCCAGGCCTAATTTGGCACGAACATTGCGCGGATCCCCTCATCTAAGATCATCTAAGGAAGATGTAGCCGATATCATCTCGCAGCTCCTGGAGGCAGAACAAGAAGAAAGTCCGACGCGAAGCCGTCAAGACGCGAAGCTCTGGAGTTCTGGTCATTCTCGGCAGATTTGTCTTGCAGGAATACCGGGGGGAAAACTACGACATCTTCAACCTGAATTGTTGCCACTTTGCCGACGACTTCGTACGGACAGGGCTTCATGCTGACATATGCTGACATGTACCTTTGATGGTGAAATTTGTTAAACTTGTTAAACCGTGAGACTTGGTGAGACTATAGGTCAGTTTGTTCTTGTCGAGGAGGCTTGGCCTCGACGGAATTCCAGGCGCTGACTCTGCTTGGACGGCATTCGCCTCTCGGTGCTCGTTTGTTATTGCTCCCATCGATATGTAGGCTGGGTGTCTCTACGCCTCGCAGCATGCGCAGTTGCCGGCTCAGCTTTGAATTAAATCACGAAAGCTAGTGTAGCTAGGCTTGAGTTTAGTTGTGTGCTAGCAAGGGGGGCAGACGATGTGCTGAAACCGCGCTATGATCGATAGTATCAATGAACCAGTTGCTTGTTTTTTGAGGGGGGGAGCGGGGGTGGGGGGAGGGGGCGGGGGGCGGAGTTGATATCTTGGAAGGCGTCTGGTGGGCTAGGCGCTGTAAATGGGCTTGGGAACAGTTTCATGCGAGATTCTCTTTGAAGCTGCCTACTGCACGCAGCACACGATGGCTTCGGCATCGGGGCTAGGACCGGGCCTGCTCTGACCTCAAACTGACTTCGGCCCGATCTGAAACTGACCCGCAACGTCGCGAAACTCAGCCCCCAAACTCGCCCATCCAGATCCGAAAATGCCCCCAAGCCGATCCGAAACTAGAACCCCGAAACTATGGGCACCCATGCCGCACATGGTATTTCTGCAATTCTCGTCAGTCTCGTTTCGATGTTTTTTTGGAGGTGTTTGTGTCTCTTGTGTTTCGAGCAGGGTTCCCTTGGCCTGTAGTGCGTTCCCGAGCTGCTGCTTGGGCGGTGAGGTGGATACCCAAACGTCGTGTCGCTCCGTGTGCAGACTTGGTGAGCGAACTTGACGAGGCTTTTTCCAGGTTCGTCGCATCGCAGAAAAGAGTTGCACAGTTTGTCAGGGTTGTTCGTGTATGAAATCGGCAGTGCCTTCGAAATCGTTGTGGAGATGCCGCCCGGTGTATCGGGCGGTGAACATGGGAGGTGGAGTTGAGGGCACGTCCCCGGCTCCGCACAAACATACATGCTCTGAGCTGCTGTGTTTGTCATGTCATGGTTCCCATGTTCCTCAATGAGGCTTGAGTCCAGCCTTGATCGCACCGTACAAGCTGAGAGGGCGGTGCGAGGGCAACATGAACAATACTGTTTCAGATGCTCATGAACATCCTCATGCAATCGATTGGCATGACATGGAGCCGAGTACGCCAGCAGCATCAACGGCAGCAAGAGCGGCAACGGCAAAAACAGCAGCAGCAACAGAAGCAAGAGCAAGTGCAACACCAACAGCAAGAGTAAGAGCAACAGCAACAGCAACAACAGCAGCAGCAACAGAAACAGCAAGGGCAATAGCATCAGCAAAACAGCAGCAGTAGCAACCACAGCAGCGGCTGCATAAGCAACGACAACAACCGCAGCCACAGCAGCAGCAGCAGCAACAACAACAACAACAGCAGCAGCAACGACGACAACAGCCACAGCGGAAGCAACAGCAGCTTTGACCACTACACCATCGCCACCACCACCTCCAACAGCTGCAAAACTAAAAAGAGCAGCAGCAGCACCAATAGCAGCAGCCAGCATTGCAGCTATGGCAGGGATGCGGGGAGAATAACATACACTCATTAGTGCATGACGAACAAAAGCATGGCTGATGTTGGCCATGGCTTGCCCCTCAAGTTTCGGCTTTACTTGCCAGCAGCTTGTCGTGGGAACATACTGGGAACGCTGAGGGCGCGCTGGGCAGCTGTGTGGCATCAGCCAGGGCCCTGTCAAGGAAATGGTCGTGTTCTGCGGTATGTGCTGCCACAGCTCAACTCTTCGTTAGGTGAACCCAGTCGGCGCTGTCCAGAAGCAGTGGCGAAATGCTATGCAACAGCTCGACAAGGCTGACACTTGGTCTAGTTTGTCATGCCATGACAGTTCCAACAGTGAGTTGCGCAAGTCTGTGGGCTGCTTGCGCTTCCTATCTGGTTTGGATGTGTCTGCACCATGTCCTTTCCAACATGTCCTTTCCACGTCCTCCCCTTATTGGCCCGGCTGTCTTCGCATGCTTCCCATGGCTCCGTCTGTGAGCTCAGTCATCGCTTGATTCTTAGCTGTGAAATGTGAATCCGAAGCAGCAAGTGAGCTTCGACTCCAGATGATTGGCGCAGGCTTGCATGCTTATTTGGATCATGCTGTTTCTTGGGCAGACACTAGGTATGGATTTGAGACCTGCGCAATGCCGCCACTTTTCCACACAGGGTTCAAGAAAGCGAAGCACCAGCTACTTCTCGAAGGTGAAGCCTGATAAGGTTGCTTGTCAAGTCAGGCATTAGATCGACAGAACCATAGTGACACAGCTTAGCGCCTTGAATGACAGTCATTGACAACTGTACAGCCCGTGCAGTTGCCAGTCGCAGCGGCCTGCTATTAGTTTTCTAGTGTTCAAGACATGGAAATGCACAGGTTTTTGGCAGCTCACTGGAAGTGGAAGCAGTGCCATGCCCAGTCATCCCGACTGCTGGAATGAGATCGGCACGTGTCGCGTGGTTCAGCTGCAGCCCAGGACTTGCAGCCGGACAAGGTTGGGACTTGTTGTCTGCAGATGCCCATTGCCCCTGAAAGTTCCAGGCAAGCTGGATGCATCGTGTCGTCGGCAAGGCGGACAGCGACCTGGAATCAAGGCCAGGTCACGATCTGGCTGTTTGAGCACCAGTTCGCAGATTGAATTGCCAGGTCGTCATTCGAAATGTTTTGGTGAAAGGCTTGTGCGTCTTGGTTGGTTCACCCACAGATGTTGTGCATGCTCTGCGCCTCACAGCGTTGTACTCGGTATCGCCCAAGGCCATTTGGGTGGCGCAGCGGTGGTGGCAACGGCTCCTTCTTCTCGCAGCTGCCGGGCTGCCGGAGGTGTCGGGCCATGTGTGAGCCCTGGAATGACCAGACTTGTTGGCTTGAATTCCTGCTAGGCCAGGCGTGCTCCAAGTCGAAAGGAGTTGTGACTGGCGCCTCAACTCTCTGTTCGGCTTCCTTACGAATTTCCAGCACCAAGCAACTATGCGCCGAAAGATAGAGGGAGATTGGGCGCAGCGCCCTCTCAAGATTTGGTGTTGAAGCTGTGCTCAAGCAGGTCTTGGGCCATTGGGAGAGTATGCGTCGGTGATTTCTTGGCCAGACATGGGTCTTGATTTGCTTGAGGCGGTGGAAGTCTGCCTGTTGCGTCCAAGCTTAATTTGAGGGGGATGTGACGGAGCTCCACGGTCATGCACAATTATCCCGCCTATGCCGGCTCTATGGATCTGATCCTGTTGCAGTTTGCTCCCGAAGACGAAGGCGCTACCTCGGATCTGGGCTATGACGCAGTGGGTTTTGCGAGCCCTTGTTATGATTGGCGCTGATCGATATCCAGGCATGGCGCCAGAGCCACGTGTCTGAGGTCTGTGATGTTGTGTGCATGCCTCCGCCGTGGACGGAGTCCGCCCAACATGATTCCCATAGAGCGATGTTGATGAGCACTTTGGAAGAAGACCGGCTTGCTCTCTCGCAGCGAATCGAAGCAAAAAGGGGCACAGAGCAGCACAGAGTGTTTGTCTCGCAAAGTTTTTGTCACCCCTGCTTTCTGCCCTGGAGCAAGCTTTTTTGTAGCGCAGCGGACCAGCCATGCTCCCTACCCTCCTTGTCGGGTCCTCAGTCATGCGAACAGGCCACGCCTAGGTCGGTAACGTGAGCCAACGTGACATCGGGTTGTCGGGATCCAGCAGGACATCGTATGCCGCCTTACCTGCAGCTTGTTCATGAAAATAACGCTATCGTCCTCATGAAACTACTCTGAGCCAAATCTTGCTAGCGCAATCGCCAGGGTACTCAGACACGGGTGAGCGAAAAGCACGGACCCAAGGTACCTTGCGTAGGAAATTGGCGCGAACTTGGATCTGTGCAGTTCCGCCTTCCGTGCCTCAGTGAGGCGACGGCCATGTGCCCTGGAGCTTCCATCTCCAGGATCCGCGTCAGCTGCAAGCTCAGGCTGTGCCGGCTTCGGATAAGCACCTTTTGAAAGCTTCCCCCATCCATCGCATGTTTTAATGCTGTTTAGTCAGGCGTCCAAGTCCTCACACTCTTGTGAGCTCTGAAGCTGGTCCGTCCGAGGAGCACCCCATGGCATCCCCCATGGCTTCCCGAGCTTCCCGGGCTTGTGAGTCCCCAGAGGCCGGGTTGTTTTGGGTGCTTGGGCGATTTGTATCCTGTTCTTCCTTGGATGGATACAAGGGCCTGTGGAAGTGCGTCACGGTGCTGTGGAAGTTTGCAACGGCAGTGCATTCAGGATACATGTATAAGCCGCGGGCTTGTGTCAGAAGGTTCAGAGGGTTGGTGCTGAAGCAAAATGAAGGCAGAAGGTTAACGAGATGGACAGCCTATTAACGATACCCCAGTTTGATTGAAACTCTGTGCGAGTGCGCACAAGCAGCCTTATGCAGCAGAACCCCGTTTAACGATCGCCGGCCTCCAGGCGCGATCTCAGTACACAACGCCACCGCAACGTGGCAGCGTTGATGTCATTTTCTTTGACTTCGTAGCGCCCTTAGCGCCACAAACCTCGGCCCTTGCCTGCAGCTGAAAGCGGAAAACAACAAAGCAACTCCTCACCAGGATGGAACCTTGACGTCCACAGCCGGTGACCGCGCTAGCCGCTGCTCCAAGCCAAGGGAGTTATGTGCCATGGCCTCAGCGAAGCCGTGATCAGGCAGACCTACATCTGGGACCTACTTGGCTGGCTCCAATTATGGATGATTTTGGGCCGGGCTGTATGCAAGACCTTATACTCAACAACCCCCGCCCCCAAAAGATTGAATATGGGTCCCTGCACCTTATTGGAACTGCAGGGAAGACAACATTTTGGGTGTAAGGGGTGCTTAATTCAGTAGGGGTTAAACTTGACAACCGTACCCAGGAGAGGGCAGCCATGTTGGAGCCCAGGCTGCAGGCCCTGTGGACCCGGCAGGTTCTTGCTCAAAGGGGCCCAGGGGACAATGTGTGTTGCGGGTTACGTTGGCCAAAAGAGGCCCCTGTCAGCAGGGATTCCTCAGTGTCACGGAGTCATGGGTCCGCATTACCCCACGTTCCACATTACTCAAAACAGCGGAAGGAGTCTGCCCGTCGCCTTTGCCAGGTGTTCGCAAGGAATCTCGCTGGGCATTATTTCCAAAAGCACTGAGGCCAGGGCTTGGTCTCAAGTTACGAGCCACAGAAGATCATGGGGGGGCGGGGGGGGGGGGGGATATTGGCAAAGACTGTCCAAGGAAGAAAGGTGGTGGAGGGCTTGTTAGTTGGCGGGAGCAGAGAGGCTCACAGTAGGAGCTTTTTGAAAGGCTGGTCTGAATGCTTCTCGACCCAAGAGGTTTGGCGATGTTTGGCGAGAGAGCACGGCAAGCTGGTTATGTGACATGTTCTTGCGCGTCAGGCTTTAGCGTGGAACTGGCTGTAGAATTGTAGAAATAATTGGTCGATGGTTGCGAGTTGCAGGGTCCGCATAGTAAAAAAATGGAGAGCAAGCCCCGCCGCTGGCTTGCAGAGCTTCTTCAACCCGCTCGTGGGCAAGGCCTTTGCAGCTTGCTTGGCGAATGGTGATTTGGTAGTGTCCAAAAATCAAGGTCCCCCCTTTCTACCACCAAAAGGTAATAAGGACAGGGCGTGCAGTATGCGTAGTGTGCTTGCGCGGTGCGTTTCTTCCCTTCCGCAGGGGCGCCTTGCCATGCAGCGCGGGAAATAGACTAGTCCTCGCGCTGGTAGCGGCGCATTGGGTCACTACTAAGCTTGCAAGCCGCCGAGCGTGTTCTTCGCCGGAGAAACACAAAGAAAGTTCAACAAAACGAAAGCTTTGTTTTTGACAATTTCGGTACTTGTCACCTTTCGAGACTTGTCGGGACTTTGCGGTCGTTTTCGACTTTTCAGACTTTTCGGTACTTTTCCATTTCTCAAGACTTATCATGACGTTTCAACTACGTTTCAACTGTTCGACTTTTCGGACCCGCCCAAAACAAAAACAAAACACACATACGTACTATTGTGAAGTTTAGCGCAGTGGTGGACCAGGAAATTTGCGAGCGTGCTTGCTCTAGAGTCGGGGGGCCGAGGCGATTTTTCAAACTTCCATCCAAAGCCATATGCAGGCTGTCGGCTTTGAGGGGAAGGCAGCCTTTTGCTTTCTTTATTGATGCTGTGAGATGTTGAGATATCAGAAAAAGGCATCTGGCGTCCACTTTGTCAGGCCGGCTTCATTGAGGACTTGGCCTTGCAGCGCCGGCACGCTTGTCTCTGAACGTCAGGTCCTTCTGGGCGTGCTTCAGAAAAAGCTCCAGCATGTGCAGAGGAAAGGGCGCCTTCCAACATCAGGATCGATGAGCGGACGCCGGGCCCGCCTGTCAGAAGTTATCAGGTTTCAGCTGCGATGGGGAGGGGGCGGGGGGGCGAAGTTTGGAGGGCATGCGGGCAGAGGTGCCGCTCCACCGCATCCTCCTTGTCGACGACGACTTGACGGAGCTTGACACGGTGGGCCGGAAGTGGCCAGAAACGGAAGCTTCATCAAGCTCCGTGAGAGGCCAAAGCGCGGGGGCTGCAAGTTTATGCGGCCCCTGCGATTGGTGGGCTTCAGGAGGAGGCGGCGGCCTTCTCTCGATGTTGTGGGCAATCTACGAGCCGGATTGTGTAGTTGGCGTTGAAGACGTTGTATTCGCACAGGACTTTGATGTCATCAGCCTGCTGAAGGCCTGCGAAGTTTCTTAGGGCTCCGGCTGACTTCCTATTGAGATGGCTAAGGTTGGAAGTGGGGAAGCGGGTGGGGGGAGCACCGTCAGCCAAGTTAGGTCCAGGCACAGTCTCTGAGTTCAACAACTCATCAGAGTTGACCACAGCACTGCTTCTCACACGTTTCCAAAGCTAAGACCACGCGATTGTGTCCGGCTCCAACAGGGCATAGCTACCAAATTTCCCGCGACCCCGTGTCCTTCATCAAGTAGCTTGCTCAACTCGAAACCCCCCCAGAACTCTTGAACCCCTGAGCTTCGGAACCTAAACTTAGCCATCGTAGTCCCTGAGCCTTGGAGAGGTCGGTGAGCACGACGAAGAGGCTGCAATTGTTCGTACTTCCATCTGACACTGGATGTTGGCCCCTGGGTGCCCTTGTGCTCTGACAAGGCTCTCGACGAGGAGTCCCTCCTCATCCCTAAGGGCGAGGTGCGTCGTGTGCAAGGTTACGGCTGGATGCTGCCCTGGGCCCTCGACAAGGTTGAAGAGGACCTCGTCCCGGAGAGGCCTCGTGAGAAGCAGGCGCGTCATGTGCACTGCTACGGCCACCATCGGCCACCTTGACCTTCCAACGACTCTAGGTCGGGCTTTTGGAACGCTGCTGCCGGCGTTGCTTCTTCAATTGAGAAGGCTCGTAAGCAGAATTAAGGGGGCCCTGGAACGAAACCTAACGCCCACGGCTTCTCCACAGTAGTGTTCTCGCCTGAGGGTCAGGGTTTCTGGTTGGGTTGGGCAGTTGTATGCAAGTCGGCAGGAATTTTGAGGCCATTGGAATTGAATTGCTTCAGGACGGTCAGTGCTTGACATGTGCTGAAGTTGGAGAATCAATCTGGCTGTTGCTGTTTTTGATGCTACCCCATGTGGACCCGAAACTGTGGAGTTTTTCTATCACAAAATATTCCTTCTTGTATGACAGTCTTCGACTGCACCTCAGAGATTTCCTACAAGATGGCAGAGTCCATAATTCCAACGATTAGAAGCTGTCATATCCTTGCCGTCATATCGCCTTCCAACCAGGGTCCCCAGGCTGCTGTAGTTGTAGGCCTCTGCTGGCAGAAGCTGGGGTGCTGTAGGCCCTACATCCCCTAGCTTCTGGCATGCTGCATGCACCAAACAACCGTAGCGGTTGAAATGAGAGTCGGGGCGAGCCATTCTACAACAGTATGGCCTTGCATCATCTTGGGAATCCGAGTGTCATTCAGCGTATGTTCCTAGCATTGAAGTTGTTGGAAGTTCTGATGCACCGACCGATCTCAGTTGCTGGACGTAGTTTTCCAGCTTGTAGGAGGCCAGTCCAGGAGACTGGCATGAGTCTGGTGTTGCAAAGTCTGTCACAGGCAGCTTTGAAAGCCGCCGAAAAGCTTGCAAGGCGTCACTTCCCCCTTATTGATATGTGGATGCGAGGTCTTGCGCTCCTAGCGGCCTGGCGTTTCACCATCTTTCTAGGATGTGAGGATCTTCGGGATTATTGGTGCCATGGGGCAAAAAGGGTGTTCAATGAGAGCTTTCTCAAAACAACCCGGTATGGTCCTTGAGGACTTGAGGATATCCTTTTTGTTTTTTCATTACCCTTGTATATCCCTGAGCCTTGTTATGTTTTCGTAGATATGGCAGCTGCGTTGAGGGTATACATTTGAGAAGATCTTTTCTGGAGAAGTATGAGGGATCCATTGCCGCATTCCAGCTTGGTAAGCTCCCACACAGCCGTCACTGTTGTCACCATTCTCGCCAGCATTGATTTCTATCAGTACCATCAACGGCGCCGTCAAGCGTCAGCATCTAAACCGCCAAACCCCTCACAGCCCCAAAGGGACCTTTACCAAACTGTTGCGTGGGTGCAGGTGATAAACATCTACCACCCCTCTAAAATGGCACAGGGCTGGGCTTGACATGCCTTCCGAGGGCCTGGTTGCGTGGCATGATGAGTGTTATTGACACATCAGCCGGGTCCAAGACTGTTAGATCTGCCCGTTGCGACGGGCGTGACGATCATGCTGGACATTGGAGCATGGCTGTCGGTCTGATTTGGCAAGCTTATGACGCTGTGCAGTGAATGACTCCCGACTACTACATCGAATATTATAATTAGGCATGATCATGCGTGCGCCGTTTCCAAATTTCAGGGGTGCATGACAAGCGCTCTGGAGCACCAAACATGTTCTGGGATGGGAGTATGCAGCCCCGTCAGAAGAAGGTTGTATGTCCACATGGATGAATTGAATTCGTGACGCAGGAGCCTAAATGGTAGTGGCTGACACAAATAGCACCCAATGCAGCGGATTGCAGTGCCGGCGCGTGCCGCGAGGCCCTCAAGTCATTATGCTATGCTATTATGAGATAATGACGCCGCGTCTGCAGCATGCCAAGCAGCCTACACCATGCATAGTTACGTGCATATTCCTTCCCTGCCATTTCGGGAACGCCTCAAGAATACCATCACAAGCGTTGGCTCACAGTTGCCTGCAGTTTTTTCCGGCCATCGTTGCTGTTACTACACTGCTCGCTTGTTTGTTTGGCTGCTGGGCACTAATGTCGAATACACGCCCCAGCTCTGCACTCTGCTCTGCTCCGCGCTGTGCTCCCGCGCTGCTTCAAATAGCTTCCCATAAATGGCCGAGATGCTCCGACGAACTCTTCTATTCCTCGCAAGATTAATACTACAATGCCTGTTTCCCAAAGGCCGATCGATCTCAGATACCCTCACCTGGACAATGCCGGCGCCTCGGATTCGCACAATCGCCCCCGACTCCGAGCATGCCGGGCTCAGGTCGGTGGTAAACCACATCGACGAGGAAGCCGGAAATAAGTCTGCGCAGTTCAATGATTTCAAGACTCAGATGGGCAGGGACCCAAGTCGAGCCCGCGCAGAGAACCAGCGTTACTGCCAGCGTTGGCGCTGTGCCATCCGACCATTCAGGCAGCCTTTCAAAGAAGGATTCCGCCAGTCTTGCAGGATCCGCGCTGCTTAGGATGCTGCCTGCAGCTTGCTGATATGGGCTTTTTTGTCAGGCCGTGACCTCATCGATGGCCTCACACCCGACAAGGCCAGGGACGGTGTGACTTCTTGATCGTATGGCGGGGCATGAGAATGCTGCTAGGCACTGCCAGTCACGCGTAATGCGGGAACCTTGTTTCACTCTTCCTTGGAGGTGAGGGCCGATGGCGGTCCGGATGACGATTTCATCGTGTAGCGAGCCTAATCCACGTCCCTCTCGACGCCCCACATTTCTGGCCGTTGTTTGGCATCTCTCCGGCATTTGTATGGTTCCTTATGTAGTTCCTGGCAGTAAGGACGGAGCACCTTACGACCGTTCCGGTCATTCCCGCGAGCCGGCGAGGAGATCGGCTTGAATGAAGCCGCCATCTAACCCTTCCCAAGGGTGTTGTGCAGGACCACTTCTTGAAAGTCTACGACGTCTACGAGAAGATGCAAGAAAACGTCGTGCAGAATCCTCGCTGTTGCGCGCGAAGCGGCTGGCACTTGACTTCTCCGCGCCCAGGCCGAAGTCTGCCAAAGAGTTCCTCCAAGACAAGGTGTTTTTGCGAGGATGGCAACACTTTGTGGCAGGTCGTCATGCTGCTGGCTGAGTTGGGGTGCCACGGCACGAGTGTGCTCGTTGCATGCCTTGCGCGAGGTTCCGAAATGCAGTTGATGGCTTCAAGAAGATGTGCAGAGAAAAAAGGTTTACGGCCGGGGTCTTATGGCCCACTTGAGATGCACAGACGCGGAGAAAACGGCTCTCGAGAGCTGACTCCATGCACCGACACCTGCGTGGCACAGTCATCGCAGTGTTCTGAACTTAATGGGCAGGTTCGAGATTTCGAATATAGCAAGGATGGCAGGGATCCTACATGAATCTGGCATGCCGGGTTTAGGTTTGAATGTTACCCCAACTGTCTCCTCTTCAGGCTACCATAAGTTGGAGCAGCAGCGAAAGACTGTCGAGGAGTCGGTGAAGAGGCACCAGGATTCTTCGCATTTGCGAACATTGTGGGCAATCGGCCGCTCTGCCACAAGGCAGCAAGACCTCGTCCATGGTCTTTACCAGGCCTTTTGGGCCAATCCTCCAATCAGTGAGATCTGAACCCTTTTGACCCTAAGCCCGAAAGTTGTCACCCGCCGGCCAGGCCTCATGGTCCGACGTCGTTGCTCGAGCCTCAGCCTAGGTACGAAGACCTCGCGCGTGCCATCGTCCTGCCCCACGATACTCGTAGCAGGTCGTAGCATTGCATTCGGAGCAGCACTCAGTGTGACCGGCGGAGTTCTGAGCGCTGCAATGTGCCAAGGCGATGCGGGTCTTCGTAGAGAGAGTGCGCTTCGGCATGCCCTAAGCCCAGCGATTCCGCAGTCCTCGAGTTCGCGGTACTGTGAGAGAGTCTGCAGGCCACCCTCCTTCGCGCCTTCATCCTGAGCCCCGAGGTGCGCACCGCGGGGAATCAGGAGGCATCGGGAGGGCCCTGCATCTCTGGCAGGGCGACGCGGCAGCAGCGCGGAAGGTTCTGGCAGAGACCCTGGGAAAGCAGGCGCTGTGTTTGCGAAACTTCCCGTCACACAAGAAGAAGTGGGAACTTCTCTCCCTTATCACATGTTGTGCATTGAATGGCATTGTACTATAACAACGAGCTAAGCGGGCATGTCGCGCACCAAGCTTCTGTAACCTACTGATTTGGATTTGTTCACAGACTGCTGTCAGAGCAACGGCTCAGACAAGCAGCACGATGCGTTCCGACAGCGAAGCCACAAGAGTTGATAAGGATAAGCGTCACAAGAATCGCTGGTGGCAAGAGTTCTGCCAAAGGGTCCACAGAACCTGTGGAGGCTGGCGCCATGGGTACAGCGATGTCCGAGGCAGGATGTGTTGGACGTGTTCAGCCGACGCATTTCCGCGCCTGATTGCAGTGCTATGGCAAGCGCCGGCCAAGGGAGATCAGCGATGCCGCGAAGTCTGGCGACGGAACCACGACCAACGCCCTGCTCCTCAGAGCTGGGACAAGTGGTGGCTGCGCAGTGGAAGTGCGAGGGGGTCTGTGGGGCGCAGGTTGGCAGCAAGATGACGGGCACCTTCCAATGTTCAGGGCTTGACTCGGAGGACATAGACGGATAGACGTACCTCGGTGCAGAGTGAGTGGCGAGGCCCAGAGTGCCGACAGAAGTTTGACTCCGAGAAGGCCGTGTCGTTGGGAGTCGTGCAGTGGAGATTTTCGTCAGTCTCGACGACGCCTCGATGCCTGCCTCTGGAACGGCCAGGCGAAGCAGCTGCACTGGAAGTTCATCCATGATCCAACAGGCTCCAGCAGTCTTTCCAGCGCTGTCGCATGTTTCCTCCTTGAAGGCATCAGGAGGACTGAGCGGAGCAGCGCTCCGCCGCTTTCAGTTTCGCTTGGGGTTCGCCCCTCATTTTAATTAAAAGGAAGTCTTCTTCTCTACACAATCCTCGACGTCGTCGACGGCATGGCTATCCCGGATTCGTTGATGGTCACTTAGGGCTAGGCTGCCGGCCTCGTTGCACTCTCTGAGAGCGGAAGCGACTGGTCAAACAATTTAGGGTTTAGGGTTTGACCCGCAGGGACCCGCGCGCATGTTTTGTGTGGGAAATGGGGGACCCGCGAGGGACCCGCAGTGACC